CAGATGACTGGTTAAAGAAACTTTGGTACATCTACACAATGGAGTACTATGTAGCTCTTAGAAAAGATGAAGTCATGAAATTTACATACAAGTGGTACAATATGGAAAGTATCATGCTAAGCGAAATGAGTCAGAAAGAGAGGGATAGACATAGAAAGATTGCATTCATCTGGGGGATATAAAGTAACAAAGTATGAGATTAATACCCAAGAATAGCTGAGATCAGCACCAGGAGGATTACTCCATAACTTAGAGGCCAGCCGGGTATCCTAGAGGAAAGGGCTATTCAGATAGAGAAGGGAGCACCAAATAAAGGATGTTTGGAGGATCCTCCCAGGAGGGGAGATGCATGTCGAAAGTAGACTATGGACTGAACATGTTTGCCACTCAATGCCTCTTTTGCAGACCACAACACCCAAAAGGAGAGAGAGAACACAGGGGATTGCCCTGCCACAGAGACGGGGGGATGGGGGGATGGGGGTGGGAGGGATATTATCCATGGTGGTGGAAAATGGGCACTGGTGGAGGGATGGGTATCTGATCATTGTATAATTGAAACCAAAGCACAAAAAATTGTAAATCTACAACTTTAAAAAAAATAAAATAAAATAAAGGGAAAAAAAAAAAAGAAATTGAAAGCTATCTTCGGTAAAAAAAAAAAAAAAAAAAAAAAAAGATGTCCGGGAGCTGGGTTTTATAGTCTCTGGGTCTTGGCCATTGATGGGATTACACGACGCCGGGGGCAGTTGATTATATATATATATATGTATATATATATATGCACATTTATGCCACAACATTTTACTCATTCATCTGACTTCATTTTCCTTTGACTTTGCAGTTCAGATGTAGAGGTCTTAGAAGTTCTCGACACCTCTCCATTAACTCCTATAGTGATAGCATAAGTTTTACTATAGGCTATTCTTAGTTTATTGTAACTGTGACTACTGGTCAAAGTTATTAATACAGAATCAACTTCTTTCCTACATAGTTCTGATTTCCCTGTGACTTATAATTGTCATTTTGTTGTGGAATTGTTCTGCCATCTCTTCTTTGAGATCAAAATTATCAGATAACCTATCAGTTCTGCCTAGTTGGTATCATTTTTTCTGTAATCCTTTAATCAGTTTCAATTATACTGAGGTTGATCTCTAAGCTGGCTGTGTTTTATTTTGAAATGTCCTTCTAGAATTTTTCTTCCCTACCATTATGGAAGCTTTATAAATTCCAATAGTTGCTTGATGTAATAGTAATATACTGTAATATAATTGTTTTTGTTTTCTTTGCTATTTGGTTGTGTCTTCTTATTTGATTTTGTTTTAACTTTTGTTTTTGGGTCACACTTAGCTGTGCTCAGAGACCACTCTTGGCAGTGCTTAGGGAACCATATGTGTGCAAGGGCTCAAACTAGGTTGGCTTCATGCAGAGCAAATGTCATACCCCCTGTACTATATATCTCTCTGACCCCATATTGTAATGTGATGTTTTATGACAAGTGGTTTGCTTCTTTACTTTGAGAAAGGATGCATAGGAAGTGAGTTATTTGAGTTAAATAAACTTTTATTTTTCTGTCACCTTTAATGAATGCTTCAATTGACTGTAAAATTCCAGGTTGCCGTTTCAAATTTTAAAGGTATTATATTGTTTTCTTCCAATTTTGAATGTCTTTGTTGAGAAATAAAATTTCTTTTTCTATCCTTTGTATATAAAAGTATATAAGCCTATGTACCTCATACTTTCTGGAATATTTTGATGTCTGAGTATCTGAAAAATTTATAATTCTGTACCTTGGCATGCTTTTGTCTTTGTCCCTTAAGACAGAAATTCAAAGTACCCTCTTTCTCTGAAAAAGTATGTCCTTAACTTCTGAGAATTTTACCCTGAATTACATGTTCCATTTTCTCCTCTTTTCTGAGATTTCTGTCCTTTAAGATTCTCTTCCAGCTTATTTTATATTAAATTGAAGAATGTGAAGTCTCTGATCTATTCAAAGTGTGTGTTCAAAGGCAGGTATGTGTGTGTGTCTGTGTGTGTGTGTGTGTGTGTGTGGCAAGGGGGCAGGGGGGTATATTTTTGAACTGCCTTTTTGTCTTCCACTTGCAGGGCCACCCTCAACCCCCCCATTTTGAGGATGTTTTGGGTTTTTTGTTTGTTTGTTTGTTTTTTAGTGAAGCACCATGAGGTACAGTTGTAGACATACAAACTTTCGTGCTTGGGTTTTACTCATACAATGATCGGGTACCTATCCCTCCACCAGTGCCCATTCTCCACAACCAATGATCCCAGTAGCCCTCCCCCCCACCCCCACCCCATCACCCCCACCCCGGCCAGCCTCTGTGGCAGGGCATTCCCTTTTGCTCTCTCTTTTCTTTAGTGTTGTTGTTTGCAATAGAGATATTGAGTGGCCATTGTGTTTGGTCTATAGTCTACTTTCAGCACGCATCTTGCATCCCAAGCAAATCCTCCAAACATCCTTTACTTGGTGTTCCCTTCTCTATCTGCTATAGTACTGTAGCACTGTCCTCCCGTTGTTCATGGATTGACTTGAGTGGGCACCAGTAACGTCTCCACCGTGAGACTTATTATTACTGTTTTTGGCATATTGAATACACCAAGGGGAATTTGCCAGGCTCTGCCATGCGGACAGGATACTCTCGACAGCTCACCAGATTCTCAGAGAGAAACGGAAAAATAGAACCCGGGTTGACCATGTACAAGGCAAACGCCCTACCTGCCTTGCTATTGCTCCAGCCCTCTGCTGGCTGTATGGCAAGTTGTTCTTCTGCTTTCCAGTCTCAAAAAAAATGGGGTGAGGGTAGGGTCTTCCAGGTGGTGATCTGGAAGTCCAGAGACCCCACCAGCAGTTTGTGGCCACTGAGTAGGTGTTTCGTTGCAAGGGTCCAAGGATGCGATGCTCTGAGGCCCTGCAGTGCTGGGGATTCCCATACCCCAGACCATACCTGGAGGTGCTTGGAAGCCTCACAGCTGCACCAGGCAGTGCTGGTGTGGGGGAAGAAGGGGAGGAGCCAAGGGTAGCAGAGAATCAAGCCCAGCGGGCACTCTCCTGGCCCTCGATCTTATTATTCTGATCAGCTCTTGCATTCTCTTTTCCTAATGTGTTTGTATCTTGTTTATTTTTAAAGTCCCTTTGCAATTCCTTGTTGTGGTATAACAGGTAATAGCAAAGATAATAGTATGTGTTAAATGAACCACCTCTACCTAAACAGTTCAAGTGATTTTTTTAAAAGAAATCCAGAACTTTTAAAGAACATTTTAAATCCATTTGCCTAATTATAATTGTTGTAAATATTCATAACCTTTTATGACCTAATGGAGAATAAGTGTTCTAGTCCAGTTTTAATCTGTTCTATAGACTGTGAGTAATAAGCACAGGTGCTCAAAGTTGACATTACAAAGAGAATGATACAACGATACAATGATAAAAGGGTAAAGAACACTTTATATTTGTCCTAATATGATGTTTGTGTTTCAAGCCTCTTCTTGACAACCCCGTCATCTGTAATTTAGGTCTGAAACTGAGAACCCTAACATGATTAAATTAGCAACAGAAAAGACCAGTGTCCACATAACAAGTGAGGAAATGCGTTAATGGAAAGAGACTGACCTTGTTATTCATTTGTGGTTCTATTTAAGACATCTCTTTCATGTTATTTGAATGCAGGATGTCTACTCTAGTTTGACTTTGCATGATATTTCCTTTACAGCCCAGCTCTAAGAGAAGAGGCACCACGCGCTGCCTTGTCCCTGGGGTCCCTTTTCCAGTACTTTGATGCAGGATATGCCTGGCATTGGCTTAGCAGAGACTTGATATTTGCTGTGTCCTTTTTCACTTAAAAAAATAAGGAGAAAAGCAGCCATACATGTGCTGTGACTCTAGGACAGTTGACATTGTTCTAGGAAGGCAGAAACAAGTTCCGAGTGACAGCCCAGGAGCTTACCCTGATCTCACACTGGGTCTGTCCTCACCCCTGCTAGAGTCTGACAGCATGATCCTGCTCTGCAGACCGAGGCGACAAAGAAACGTTTAGATATTTTCGGCCAGGGGCAGAGAGGAGATGTTGCTATTTTTAACAGCTGATCTGATTTTGAACAGTTGATCCGATTTGATTATATGATTTATATGATTACGTACGATTCTGGTATATATAATTTTGTCAACATTTATATATGCTACATATGATCACCAAAAAAATCTAGTTTTCACTTACCATTAATGAACCCCTTTTACCAAATTTATCCACTTCGAAGGACTTTTAAGAATTGAACCAAGGGTTAATAACTTTGCCTCCAATTTTACCACAGCACCTATGTGCCTCCCCACCACAGCAGGAATATGGACTCTTGGCACTAGATCCCAAAACAGCTGATTGCAGGGAGAATTGAGACTCCTCAAATGTGGCTGGCATTTTATTTTACTTTGCTTTGCTTTACTTTACTTTACTTTACTTTACTTGACATTCTTGCGACTACCTGCAACTGGAGACACATCCACCCGTTCTTCTTTCTCGGGATCAGAGCCCTCAAAGCTACCTAAAACTCTCAGCCATTTTCTCTGATGGTCTCTCCACCACATAAGATTGTGAAGGCTTAATTCCATCCCAGCACCTGCTTTTCAGGAAATCCAGATTCCTACACCTAAAGACATCCAGCCTTCTTGAGGCTTGAGGGGTGATTGGGAAAATAGACACAGTGGTGGAGGGAAGGTGACAGTGGTGGTGGGATTGGGGCTGGAATATTGAGTGCCTGTAACAAATCATAACAAACAACTTTGTAAACCACAGTGTTTAAATAAAAGCAGGCCGAGTGGGCAGGGGCGGCAGAGACAGACTAAATGGCAGAGTTCACTGGATCCACCCCAGAAGACAGACTCTAGATTGTGTTTCTGGTTTATTACTGATGCAAAAGCTCCAGGAGCCTCCCTTTCTTGTTTCCACAGTGTAATGCCCTATTTCTTACTGTCTTCTCCCCTTTGTCTGTAGGTTGTGGCCCTTTCCTCCTGGTGTCTGCTGAGAGACTCCATTTACTACACACTGTCTGTGGTAGCGCTCATTGTGGTAAGTGTATGATGGATACCTGGCCTGAATTTCCTTACCACTGAACCCCCAAATCATCCTTCACTCGAGGCTATGCCTTGCTCTTCTATATGACATATATTTGAGGATTCTGGGCAAATGGGTCTCTTTGAGTGAAAGCAGCTTTTCTTACCTCTGGCAACTTTAATCATCTCAAACCCCAATCTCCTAGTTGGTATTCAGCAGTTGCTCTGGCTCTTATCTGACTCCATGAGGGTCCTGTGTAGCGTTTCTGTGACTGCTCCTCCATCCCCACCCACCCCCATCATTCCAGCTCACTTCTTCCTTGGTGCTTTGTAACCTCCTTCCCCTCTGTGTTCCCTTCCTTTCTCTGTATGTTCTCCCAGGAAACACTCTGCCTTTTACTGATGGTGCCTCCACATTATACTGTCAGCAATGGAGGCTCCCAATGATCCAGGGTTGTGTCAATAATCAGACATCTGCATGTTCCAAACTCAATATATCTCTAAACTGGGGGTGATTTCCCCAAGACCACAATACCCCCTTCTTGGAATTTAGCCACTCTTCCTGTTCTAGCCACTCAGTTTTGTGAATGATAGTAAACTGCCTCTCCCCCTAACTACCACACACCCACTTGGTTTAATCTGTGGGTTTTCATCTTATGAAAATGTCCCAAATATGTCCCTCCAAAATCCACTTCAGTTAAAGCTTTCTACAATGTTCCAAACTGATACAGAATAGCTATAGATCCATGTTGTAACCCAATGGCATCGTTGCCACCTGCTGCCATCATTGCCCCTTCCCATCAATCCAAGCAGCTTCTTTACAATGAACCACTGAAATGACATTTCCTTGTTTAGTTGGTTCCATGTCACCTGTGGGAACAAACCCATATTCCTTAACTTGGCAAGCTGAATCTTTTGGGTGAAGGAAGATGGAATATTGTAAAGAACTCAAAAATGGAACTTGGAAGATCTGACTCCTGAGCCCTCCACCCCCTCCCCCTTACTGGCTTTAACAACTTTCCGGAAATTGATTTCTGTGGGCCTTAATTTTTTTACGAAGACAAATTCCATGTAGGGTCTGCTCACCTCTTGTACGAAGCACTTACTTGTAGGATATTTCAGTGTAAACCTGTATAAAGTAAATCTCAAAGTGATGTTTGATAGCATGTTTTCCACAAGGATCTAGATAAGTTCTTAAATCTGAAGTAGTTCCCTGCAGTGAAGACCTGGGTTCCTAAGAATAGTCTGCTGATTCCAAGGACCATTGTGGGGTGAAGAATGTCTTCTAGGAGCAAAAGGGTCCAGGTACACCACTCTGCAACCTCAGGCATATGCATCTGTTGAATTCCTGAATAGTAGACTCAAGGATACCTACCAGAATTTTATTATTGATCTCAATTACTATCAGAGAATCCCAGACACTACCATGATCATCCCAAACTTTAAATATTATTCTGTTTTTCTTGTTCCATACTTTTCAAGCATTGTCTGTGTGGGAACTTTGTCCTGGGTGTGCAAACATTGCTGAAAATGTTCACTCCATTATTCTGCCTTTAGGCTATTGTAGGGTGATTTTAAAATTGTTTTTTAAAGGGATCTATTTAAGGCAGTGATGAAAATGTGTGTATCTCTCTGCTTTGCCAGATTATAGAACAATACCACCACTCTCATAAAGACACCTGATGAGACAAGAACAGCCCAGACCCAATGGGCATATCACAATGTTCACTCCTGACAGCAAATCTCTGAGTGTCCCTTCTTACTCTGTCTTCACCTTCTCTCTCAGCATAGACACCTCCTGGATGATGTGTCAAATAACTTGTCCTCTGTCCAATTTATCTGGACATATTCTAGATACAGTAGCTTTAACTGATGATAATGATGTGTGAAGCTTGAAGCATGTTTGCGTCTTTAGATTGCTGAACCACTCACCTGAGAAGGTCTCTCTACAGAGTGAGTGTGAGCAGATGAACACAGAGCTGAGCTGGCTGGATGTGGAGGAGGCTACATTTCTTCATGTGGTAGCAAAGCACAAACAGAAGAGGGGTGTTTAGCTAGTACTGAAGGTGTGAGCTGAGTATATACAGAACAGGAGATAAGACTGGAGCTTGGCAACTTTGAGAAAAATTAAGACTCTCAACTATTAAGGAAATAAAGGAAAAGGTAAAGTTTGGATTCTTGAGGCTGGGACTTGGTTCATTGGTCATTGATCACTTGACGATGCCACTGGGGCAAGGGAAATTTCCCAGGATCTACTGCAGCATCACAATGCACTTGGTTTTCTCAGACTTCGTACCTGTAACACCATCCTTAAGAAACTCAACTTTGAGTATGGGGTTGCCGTTTCTTTCAGCAGTCATCTATTGCACGAAACAACGTTTTCTTCTAGAGTGCATTTGGAAGTGCTGGAGGAAAAACAATGCTGCGGTTTGGGTGTCTAGATTTCTTGCTGCTCTTTGCCCTCGGTGTCATTTTTGCCATGAAGCTTCAAACTAGCATCAGTCAAAACTCTTGTAAAAAGCACTTAGGAAAGGCAGTCGTGCCCTTCAGGAAAGGAGACCCTTCAAGAGGAACAAAAGTCTGTGGTAAGAAACTAAGAGGACCACCAACAATTCAGTTATCTTCTTTGATGACAATACCCTGGAAACAGGCTGTTGCCTACATAGAAAGTGCCAAACAGGGAAGTTTAGGAAAACCCTATAAAACCAGCTTTGCAAAGGCAAGTGACATACATCACTACTCCAAGGTCACTTGAATCTCAACCTGAGATGTAATTCCTTTTTTTTAAAAAAGTTTTTGAGGTTTTCTCGTCTCTCCCTCCTCTGAAGAAGCCCATATTCTCTCCTCTATATAATATATCTCTCCCAGGCTTTTTTGCTTTTGGTTTTTGGGCCATATCCAGCAGTGCTCAGGGCTTACTCCTGGCATTGCTCTCTGGGATTACTCATAGTGAGCTCCGGGAACCACATTGGGTGTTGGGGATCAAACACGGGCCAGCCATAGGAAGGCAAATGCCCTACCCCTTGTACTATGATTGTGGCCCCATCCTCTCCCTCTCTCCCTCTCTCCCTCTCTCCCTCTCTCTCTCTCTCTCTCCACCCCCCTCCTCACTCCTCCCATACTCCCTCCTTCTTATTTCCTAATTGAAACCTATTTTACTTTTAAATAATATCAAGATGGGCTAAAATGATAGTGCAGTGGATAAGACTCTTACCTTGCACACAGCCAACATGGGTTCCATTCCCAGCATCTCATATGGTACTGAGCACCACCAGGAGTGATCCTATGCATAGAGCCAGGAGGAAACCTGAACACCGCCAGGTGTGGCCCTAGAACAAAACAAAACAAAGCAAGACAGAACTAAGTAAGATTCTTTTCTTACAAAGATGTTTTCTCAGTGATTTCTCACTGTCCTGAGCATATTCCATGCATCCGGTCCATGCAAACATATAGGTTTCTTTGTGTCAAGGGTTTTCATTCTCCTCTTTCTCTGTATTTGCCACTGCTGTGAGACCACTTCCCTACTGGTCTTCCTTATGTAATATGAAACTTCTCTGTGGAACCCTACTGTGGGCACTGAAAATTACTGTAATGAAAAGTCCTCCCTGTTAGTCACAATTCAATCTTTTAAATAATTTAACCAAAGAGGAATTTTTAATCTTTGCCTTGTTTGCATGGTTCTGAAATCTTCAAGAAACAAAACTACTGGTCTCCAGGAGTGAGACAATGAAAAGTTCGCTCACGAGGCTGACATAAAGGCATTTGCCTCACTTTTATGCAACTTATCGCGGTTTGATCCCCAACACTACATATGGTTCCCAAGTACCATCAGGAGGGACCCCTGAGCAGAAAACCAGGAGTAAGTCCAAGCAACACTGGGTGTGGCCCAATCCCCTGTACCCCAATTTGCAAAAAATAAATAAATAAATAAACTCATCCACCCAGAAAGCAAACCGTACTAAAAGGAACCAGATGCATTTCCTATAGATGGCCCCTACATGTGGCCCTTCAGACCACATGAAGAGTCCTCAGGACAATCCATGGGACCCAGATCCCAAATATTTCTCCAATGCTGCTTCTGGAAGAGGGGAGCATTGATAGAGTCACTACTACTGGATTCAGAAACAGTTGAAATGGACACTGATGAAGATGGACAGAGCTGAGAATCAAAAAGCAGGAGGAAATAAAGCTGATGTATTCTAGAACCAGCTGTGAAACAGGAGAACTGAGAGAAAGGGACTCAATTCACCTTGAAATTTGAGTTTCACCTGAACTTTGTCTTGTGGGGTTTCTTCATTTTGTAGTTGTTGAGAGAAGAAGCAGAAGAAATTAAGATTAAATAATCACTGTAGCTAAAGCATTACAATTTTTAAAATATATGGTATATCTCTCAGAACCCTTCTCTCCACCACCCTGCATCCCCATGAAGTGCCCCCATAACACTGGTGATATTCTCTACAGTGAGTCTTTGGACTCAGGGGAGCTGGATATGGCCCAGTAGGACTTTAGGACTTTGGCTCTCTCTGGAAAAGAAGTTTCACCTTCAAAGTCCTGGGGACACTGGAACACAACCTCCTGTGCATCTACTTTATCAATAGTCTATAGATTGCTACAGCCCCATTCCTGCTACTCTCCCTCCTAACAACTTTGGACCACTGACAGCTCCTACCTCCTAGTCTTGCCCTTTGTTGATATTCCCTCCTGCAGGCCTGCCAGTCTCTTTATTGAAATTTTACTATAATTTACATAATACATAATCGTGTAATTTACATAAATGCAAATGAGTCATTCCACCATCAGTCTAACTGCTGCCCTAGAAAGAAAGCTTTATTTTTACCCTTCATCTCTGCTTTGAGAAGCATCAGGTGTCGTGCGCATCAAGAAAAGGAAAACCTCCCGAGTGGAGGAGGAGACAGGTTCCAGAGGGCTTGGACTAGCCCACAAGGACCAGGTGGGCCATGACACCTGTTTGAGGGCCTTTGTGGTGTCATGGTCATGAAGATCACCGAAGGTAAT